CGTAATGCAGTCCGTGATCGTTCGTAAACCCAACATATTGAACTCGCTACCAAGTATCAATTTGAATATTATGGTAGCTTCGCAAGGAAGTTCCCGTACTATATTATAATTTTTTTTCATATTTTCTGCTGGACACAAATCCGAGTAAATTGTACGGATCGATGACTTAGCTTTTCTTACTTAGCACATATGTAATAAAGCAATTTGCCAGAAAGAAGAGAGCTTACCATGAAAAAGCAACGTATGGTGTGCTTCAAGGTTTAGTGGACAGCGTTTCAGTAAGAATTCAACCATGATTATTTGCTATTCGCGGCCGAAGCCCGAACTAAGACTTTCGAAACAAAAAAAGAGTAGCGGCATTGTTAACGGTTGAGTATCCTAGATTTTCGCTTCTGAGATTGGAAAGAAGTTTGTTTGAAGAATTGGCGTTTTGTTTCACCCATTCAGGCTCTAAAGAAGGCAATCCTGGCGCAGTGCCAGCCACTATATCTATCAACAACATCAAGCGTGATTGATATAATGCAATAACATATCCAATATGCCGAGACTCATTGTCGAACATTCCGAAAAAGAAAAAGTTTTTCGAACAGCTTAAACGTTCACCTACATTCGTCAAAGCAACTGCAACATTTTGTCTTCTGGCGAAGGTTCTAGGCCTTAATCAGTTAAGGTAAGATTAGCGCTATTTTATGTATATCGTAGAATTTACACTTATGACATTGGAAAGTCGACACCAGTAAAGAAAAGCTGACGTCAGCAACAGTGTGCTTGCAAACCTCCAGTCTGTTTTTCTCGCTAAAAAGAGCTTATTTTCCGGTTTCAAGGTGCCTTGCGCTTTAATGCTGGAGGTCTGTTCAGGTTCAAGTTAAAGGACAAAATTTAATTTTTTCTGCACTTTCGGTATATAAGTCGAGACCTGAGTTAACATTGAAATTGGAGATCGCTTGCTAGCTGGAAAATTGGGACAATCTATGGATTCAGAGTACTGAGCGCAGGAAAGCAAAGTTATGCCGTAAGTTGAATTCAGAGAGCATTCTTGTAGATTGTTAATTACCTCGTCTATATATGTGCACTCTAAACTAAATATTTTTTTAGTGATAAAAACAATTTCCGTGATCTCTCCCTAACGTCTTTTCTTACATTCGCAAAAAAGTGGTCCTCATGTGCAACATTTTAGATGTTCGCTATCATAATATACTCCAACATTACTATTTCAAAATCCAAAATCCTACATCAAAATCAGGTTTAGTTCCAACTTTGTCGCGTTGTTATAACAAATAATGAAACTTGGAGCTTCACGCAAACTACACAATTATCAATTCAAGAAAGTCACTGCAGTGCCTTGAAAAGCAACAAATTTGTCCATCTTGAACCTCTCGAAACAGAGTCCCTGATAAATGCCTGAATTGGTCTAGTCCATACTAGCATCCCGTAGAGACAAAAATTCACTTTCACCATAAGCTAGGAGGAGTGTTTTGTTTTATCAGTCAACAATACAACATGTGATCAACTAATTTATGGTCATAAGCGCCATAATTTTGAAAGATAGTCTTTACAAATACTTGAGGCGTTTCCTTCAACGTAACAGCTATGTGTGCAGATGGTTCCCCATAACGCAAAAGTTAATGCAGAATCTAATAAATCGAAGCAATGAAGTCTCTCACTCAGTGAGGTAATTTTTATGATTTAATAGTTCCCAATACTGAACATTTTCACAGGTCTGAGTCAGATTAGGACTAAAGTATT